ATTGTGATGGTAAGATTCTTAATCACTCAAGTAAAAAATGTCACAGTGACTATAATTCACATGATATAACATGACAGCTAAGATGTACAGTGGTAATTTGTAAGAGCTTTCAGTATTATTGAAATATCAAAAATTTATATGGTTCACTTATTAAGTCAAATTGTTTCATTCAAACAGAAAAAGCTGAAACAAAATCACAAAGGACCACAGTATTATATTTAAAAAAATAGGTATGTTAAAACATTTTGTACATAGTGCTACAATTATTCCATTCAGTGAATGGGAACATAGAGATAAAATACTAATAAATATCTGCGGGAGCGTATGAAATTCTTTTTGTTCATTGATGTTGGCAAAAGCCTAGTCCATGCAACAATACAATGGTAATTTTTTTAGAGCTGCCATTAGGGATGGAACATTTAAATAGTTCATCAATAGAATACAGGTTTTCATTTGTCCAGTAAAAGACATTTTTTTAAAAATGGAAAATAACGTGCCAGCTTAAGAAACAAATGGTTTCCTGTTCTACAAAATCATAATTGATTTTTTTTTATTTCACAAATATATCCAAAAGTATATGGATTAGTGGTCACCTGACCGGGAGCTTATTTGTGCAGCTTAGAGCCTGATATTTTCATGGACACGGGTCCGTATCTACAGGGAGAGAGACAGCCCAAGAAATACAGGAGCGTACCTTATGTTGTGTAGAAGCACAAAGGTGTACACTACACAATGGAGTCAAAGGATGACACTGGATACTCTGGGGTCACTATGTGACACAGGATTCTCTAGGGTCACTGCATGACACACAAATGTCTCATACAGGAGCACTCAGGGACCCCAAGGGTCCCTGTAGACACAGGTGCACCTAGGGCTCACCAGGTACACTGAAAAAAAAACAGTCGCCAGGGTCACTGGAGACACGGGAGTGACTAGAGTGCATGAGGGTCACAGAGTACCTGAAGGCACAAGAGTGCTGGAGACACAAGGAGCACTAGAAACATAGATGTTCTTGGGACACAGGAGCAATGGAGATACTGGAGACACTAGGGGTCAAAAAGTGCACAGGTGTCACAGAGTCCCTGGAGACACGAGTGCAGGAGTCGCTGAGGCACAGGAATGGGGGGTCACTGGAGTGAAGGGATAATGCAGGCACAGGTGTCTCAGGGGAGATGGTAGTACAGGAATCTTAGCGGACACAAAAGCACATGAGTCACAGGGGGTCACAGAGCACACAGGTATATGCTGTAGATGTTTAGGGACACATTGCTCAAATTTCAAGTACCACACCTCCTAGCCTTCTACTGAGGTAGCTGAGAACTGGTTGGCTGTGTCAAAGGCCATCCACCAGAGAGAAGGCTTGTTGCTGAATCGGGGATGATGTGAGTGTGAGTCATTATATTGTACAGATAAAGACTTTGCTAAAAATTTCTAGTCTTGTATGAAACTGTGGCACATGTGCCCAGCTGCATCCCTTTTAGTCTAGGACCAATCACAATTGTTTACATAATTGGATAAATAAATTATTGTAATGTAAGAATTTTGTTGCATTACTGATGGTGACCATAAATATTCTGAAAAAAACTGCCAGCTGAGATTTTTGACCAACAGAGATGGTAAGCCTCATATCTTCTTAGTCTGTGGTTGATGAATGAAGACAAATGTACAGCACACAATTAACTCCTACATTTTAAGTGCATACAGTGCAGTGCTACCAAAAATGCTGCATGAGTGATTTTAAGTCTTTTGTTGTGCATTATGATGCACTAAGCTGGTGTGAATGGGCCCTAAGGGTTACTTCAGTCATGTGCAGGTGATAAAATCTCAGTCCATGGATATGTAATTTCTGCAGCTGGGGGAAATACCGAAAACGTGACTTGTCTTTGGTACGTGAGGAGTGAAATTGAGAAATACTGCATTATGCTGTATTGTCCAGTGTATAAGCTAAGCACTTTTGTGACAGTGGTTGTGGTGGATACTTGCAAGTGCATGATCTGCATTAATATAGTGTGTGAATTAAGATTCATCGTCAATCACTGATGTTATAACCTTTTGACATGGGCTGGAAGCATTAGAAAGGAAGGATCTTACTATGCCAACTATGGTGACACACTTTGGCTGGGGTAAAATGGTATGACTCCGCTAACAATTGTAAATAAGTGTATTTATCAAGGATTCCCTGGTAAATTTTAGAAAAAATAGCTAAATTCACCCAAGTAAGATTCAGTGGTATTCATCCAGAATTTTGTAATTAATTACATTTCTCTGGGCAAATCGTGTTAGTTCAAATCCTACTAGGATAAATCTTGATAGTACAGTAAAAGCTATTTTTCACTTTGGGTGAATCTTTGTGGGAATATTTTGGGTGAATCTTGCTAAATAACAGGAATGTTCTCTTTTTCATTTGTCAACATGCATTGCTTTCCATGGTACTGAAACCTTTTTAATATACAGTTTCAGCACTAGAAGGATTAAATGTAATTTTCAAATAAAAATGTTAACAAACAGCGTGTCCACCCGCTCCCCTCCAAAAAAAAAAAAACAGTCTGGCATGCCAGGAATGCAGATTAATATCCTTATAGCAAGGGGGTGGCAAGAGTGCGTCCCCTGCTGATATGGTGAAAACAATTATCATGCCCTTCAGCATAGGGGAGTTACTTGGAGAAGGTTCCCCAAATAATGGGGGTCCCCTAAAGCACCCTAGCCCAGGAGGAGGTGCCCACATTGGTGAACCCATGCATTCTCATTGGGGGGTCCAGCCCACCAATGCATGCGGATAAGATACAAAGGTAAATAAACTAACACCACACAAAAAATTATTTATTGTTGTTTTTCAACAAACATTTAACTTTCCAGGTTCAAGCAATTTCCAAAGATGTCCTCTAGCACTGGCAGGTCAAAGTTTGGGGGAGAATAGCTCTCCCCTTTTTCACTGCTCAAATAGTTTTTAAGCACTGGGAACGTTTTCATCATTGGCACAGTTTAAGGTGACCATGGAATGTACACTGAGTAATGTTAGATAGGAAAAAAACTGCGCTAGGAATCAAATAACACTCTAAGAGCAGCTGTGCTTAATAGGTGAGTACACCCAAAATAGGAAAAAAGGAAATAGCACTGCGCTTCAAACTCAAAAATTATATTCCTAAAATGTGAAAAAAATAGTATAAAATGTGAAATTGTCACAAAAGGATACACAATTGTGTGTCATACACAACACCTGTGTTGCACAATGCCTGTGCTGATGATAGTAAAAAAAACAAAAAACTCTAGGTCTAATGGTCTATAAACCACTATAAACCATAGTAAACATGGGGGGAAAAAACATGCTAGTACATCTCATAAAATGTGTACATATAGAAAAGCCTGTGTTGAATCTCACAAGTGATTGTATAACTCCCACCTAATGTACATAACCATGTGTGAAGTCCATTACTTCTCGATACAATAAAGTCCTTGAAATATGTGAGGATATATCTCCCTGCTTTAATAATCAACACCACGTCCGTGAATGCAAAAACAATTAGTGAATCAGTGCTCTCCAGTCTCCACCGTGCTCAAAGATAAGATCTGGCCGCACTCACCGACTCCTATTGCTCACCATATTTCAGATGAACAATTAGCGCTTTGCTGATCTATATAGAACCAAATCCTCTCCTTTGTTTTTAATCCGACAATAAATTGGGGTAGATTCCTCCCAACTCTGGCTTATCTTTCCAAAATCGTGTAAAACTATTCCTCCATCTTCGCTTGTGCTCAGAGAGAGAAAAAAAGGCTTCCCATAGTGTAGTATGTCAGTAATGTCAGTAATCTATGATTGTAATGCTCGCATAGATCCGCCCACCTGATGCATTTCGTCACTATTGACTTCCTCTGACGCGATTTAACAGCCTTTGAACGCGGGATGATTTTTGGTGCTCTAAACCATGGATCGGGTATCAGCAAAACAGCAGAATTTGTTAAATGTTCAAGAGCAGCTGTTGTTAAAGTGTTTAAAGACTGGACTGTCAACCGAAAATCTGGGTCTGAACGTGCGAATTGTGGCCGTCAACGACTAGTCAATGTTAGGGCAGAACGGAGAGTGGCAAGACTGGTACAAGACAACAGAAGGGCAACAGTGCAGTGTCAGATTCCTCGCATCACCTTTTAACATCTCGTGGAGTCACGAGGCGGCCCAACGAAGTACTGATGGGGTGGTCATAATAATCTCGCCACTCAGTGTAGAACATCTTAAAAAAGTGTATCTACGGTGAAAGATGGGTGAATTTCTTGTAAAATCCTTGACAAATACACCTCAGTCTGCCAAATGCTTGGTCCTGTCTCTGTTTCACATTTAAGAAGAATGCCATCATGAACATAGTTTCCAACAACCTAAAATTATTTCCAGCTACTTTAGGATGTGCCAAAGATAGTTTTGCATTGCACTGTAAAGTAGGCAGTGAATTCAAACTATGCTACATTTGGTATAATGTAGCATAGTATAATATACCCAAGTACATATCCACATTTAGAAGGGTTAATGAAAAAACACCTTGAAACCAGTGTAATCTGAAAAAAAGTATAACTATGCTGATGGTTTGTACATTGAAACCCCTTGGGACCAGGCAGCATTGATTCATAACTCAGTTAGCTGGAAATATGTCTGTGTATTTCTTAAAAATTTTTGGTGAATTGGTACATGGCAATATGATTAATAACAAAGAGGCTCTAGTTCCATTTTGAACCGGGATCCAAAGCACTTAAGATCCCATCTTATGCTATTATAACTGTTGTCACACCACAGACCTTCAGTTTTAACGCTCGACAGGTATTTCAGTTTCTGTATTTGAAATGTTTGATGTTTGCCTTTTAGTTACATCCACTTCATTTTTGGGTTGCAACACTGTCAAGTTTCAGCGGTGTATTGATTTTTTATTTTTTATCCCAGCATTCCCATTTGTTTGAGAAGCCTGATGCAATCAACCAGAATGAATGAGAAAAATACTGCATCAAAGTTGACTTACTTTATTCTGCAGATATGAAGCTGGTGCAGACCAGTACATGATATCAAACAGCCCCCGAGCTTGTGCATCTGCAGTTCTAATACTCAGTTGTTGGGGTCCATCAAATCCATCTTTAGTTGGGGCAACTCTGAGGTCTCCATTTACTTCTCTAAGGTACCAGCCATTCATATCAGTGATCTAAAGAATAAAAAGTTAGTTTATTAGAAATTAACAATAATGTAATTGTTTGATGTGCACATGTCCTTGGAAAATGCCTTGTCAATCAACATAAAATTAACAATTTAGCAAAAAAAAAAAACAACTTACATAAATTAGGGGTAAATTACTAGAAACAAATGACTATATAGTAGGAATCAGCATTTACAACATAGAGGTAAGATAAAAACATTGATGCAGCCACACTAGGGAAATAACAGGTGTGTGATTTATGGATTTTTGGGATGAGGCATTGATGAAGCCTCAATGATGAGGGTTCACATTCACCAGATTGCTACAGATGTGTTTTGATATGTTTTGAAACTTAGAACAAATGGTTTGGTGTACACAGAGAACCTCACCCCGATTTAATCAAGAGTTCACACACTTAATGACTCTCACTTGCTGCGCAAGTAAAACAACCCCCTGCTGCTGTTTTATTTATTTCCACTAACCAACAACTCAAAGACACTTCAAGGAACAGAGAAACACATCAAGCGGTTTCAATAGGAAATCTCCAGGCATTTGCCACATGCAATATTGCACTCCTTCACTTTAGTCCAACGTTGTTCCCTCATAATTAAGGACCACCTGAAGATCCAGAGAATATTTTTCAGCTAGCTCTGTTTGTGTGTGAGCGTTGATCTGTACGAAAGGATCATTGCAATGACCAATTTTAAGGGTGTGGGGATAGTGGTATTTAAATGTGCAGTCGATTAATGTGAACATTATTTTATTTTTGTATATTCAATAAACATAACCCTTTTTACATTACAAATCCACTCTCTGACCCCATTCTTTAGCTGCATCCTGTTCAATAAACCTCTCTTGGTTTGAACAAAATTGCTATTATTATGTTTTGAAACTTAGCATTCATGTATGTTCTTACCTTGGTATAAGTAAATCGTGAATCTATACAATTATTTGAAACTCCAGAACAGAAACACTGATCACATCCTTTGGGATTTTGACGCTGAAGGTTGAAAAATCCACGCTTACAAACTTGACAGTTGTCACCTTCAACATTTTCCTAGAAAGAGAATTTTGAGATCTCATATTTCATCTGTATTGTTTTTTTAGTTTTCATAAATATATATACATATACTGTTAAAATTCATACATGTACTTAATGTTCAGTTTTAATTAAGAAAAGTGCAGTGGTCTTCCTGACAGTTTATTGTGTACCAAATGTGGGTATCATCTGCTTTTGATGTAGCTTATAGCAAGCTTTTGTCTACAGCCTAACTACTTGTTATAATTCAGTGTGACTAAGGTTAACACAAAGGCTGTAGACCACTAATGAAATGCCTCCTAAGGAGAAGTGTTCTCCTAACTTACACTTAACTCTCAACAATGGCTCCTACATCAATTGCTGTAAAGGTACATTTGAAGTTACCCTATAGCAATGGGATCAAGAAAAAGGGACAGGTTTTGGCTTTATTCTAGCACACAACATGCAGCAGGAAATGAAGGTCTTATATGCATGTTACTATAGAATAATATATTTGTACGTTGAGATTCATAATATTCAAAACATTTCATTGTGATCTTTCTGTTTGAGGTGTGCAATGCAATTTAGCAACATAGTGAGAAAGCATTTTCCCTTTTTAACTACTGTTAACTATCAGTTAACAGTTCCTTATATAAGGCTGGGTTCACACCTAGGCGTATTGCAAAAGCGCGTCTGTCGCGCGTTTTTTTTACCGCGATTCGCGGTAAAAAAGTTGCACGACCGTCGCGCGATTCCGAAGGCTACTTGGCTGTATTCCAATGGAAAACGCCCTACAAAACGGCCCAAAGTAGTACCTGTACCTTTTCAGGCGTGGGCCATTTTGTAGCGCGTTCGGGACGGGGGAAATACGGCAAGGTGGGAACGAGTCCATTGACTCCAATGCAATTTATATTTTTGAGCGTTTTGTAGAGCGTTCTTCGAGCGTAGAACGCGCTACAAAACGTTCAGGTGTGAACGAGGCTGCATGTATATGTGTAGGTCAGACCAACAGACACTATTGGCTGTCCCATGTGCAGCAGATTTGGCAAATCATTATGACAGCTATATCTGATAGATAAGGGTGGTTGAAGCTAGAGGTGCACCGAAATGGAAATTTTAAAATGTCAGGCCGAAACCGATACCGAAAATGTTTTTTATTTTTCAAATATTTTATTTTTATTTATTTTTTATAAACGTTTTATTTTTTTATATGTATTTGTATTTATTCATTTTTGTATTAAATATTTTTATTTTTTACTTTACTTTTAGGGGCTTCGGGGGAAATATCAGGGGTCGAAACAGACCACTGATATTTCCCTTTTAAAATAGAAAAAGAGATTGAGAACACAAAGTCCTCAATCTCTTTTTCTGTGTCCCCTGTTATCAATGAACAGGAATCCACTATGAGTGTCCCTGTTCATTGAGAACATTGTTTGTTTACTATAACTACGACTATGAATGAATGGAGGTGATGTAGATCACTTCCCATTCATTCATAATTGAGGCTATAGTTAACATACCATATCCTCAATTATGTACAAACCAGGCGGCAGAGCGGTGTGGGAGGAGACGGCGGCCACTCACAGCGCTCTCCACCACAGCGCTTGGCCGGCTGTCACTTTCTCTTCTCACCGCTGGGACATAGAGCAGCGCCCAGCGGGGAGGAAAGAAATCAGGGATGCGCCGATGTATCGGCAGGAAAATGGCACTTTCGGCATTATGCCAAAAGTGCCATTTTCGGCCGATATATCGGTGCATCCCTAGTTGAAGCAGATGCAAACCTGCCATGTAGTGCAGGAGACAATAAAAACAGCCACTCACATGTTGAACAGGCCTGCAAACAATAATACCATGCCTGAATACAACACAAACTCACTCATTTTTGACCAGAGTTTAGCTTTTAGGCTTTTTTACTGCTTGTACGAATATGTAAATACTTTAATGTCTACAGTCTAGCACAGGCTCACATTAACATTGTCTTATAACAAATATATAGATAAAGTACTAATTACCTACCTTGCAAATACATGGATCCACACATGGGTCTTCATTTTCACTGCCAAATACACTGCAGTTACAAGGTGCACAATCTGGATAGCCAATATATCCCAAATCACATTGCTCACATTTGTCCCCTCCGTAGCCAGGTTTACAAAAGCAGGAACCAGGTAATAAGTCTAGGTAAAAAAGTTATTAAAATGCTTACTGAATTGTAATTTTTTGTGAAATCACACTGATATTTGAATTTTTTAATGTACATCAATTTTAAAACAAATAATGCAGTTGCTACTACCTACTTAGATCAACAGAAGTAAGGTAGAAGAAACTGGATTGTGAGATGAACGAGTATCTGTGAATGACTACCTGAATGTTTTTCAAACATGATTTAACTTTAACATTACAATGGAGAACAACTTTAAGATATTTTAAACTGCAGATTTATAAGGCACATTAAAGATCTAGTAAACCATTGTCAGCACAAACTAATCAGTAAATGGGAGAGGAATTCAGGAAAACAAGATGCCATTTCAAAGAATATGACAGTTAGAGGTGTAGAACATTACCTATTATTAATTCAAACTAATTAGAACAGACTGCAGACTGATGAAGGACAGGAATAAGAAACAGCTGTCATTTAAAAATAATTAAATCATCCTTGATATGAATCTTTAATATTAACAGGTTGCATCATTAGCACAAATAGCTCAAATAATCCAGTTTCCGCCTTTATGGATAAGTGTTTGACCTTTAAAATACAACATTTCATGCAATGAGATTATAAGATTAATCCACTTAAAATGGCTATTTCCACAATAAGTGGAGTCTGGAAGGTTGAGTTGTTACCAGCTTCTGATTCCTTAGGTGATTTAACTTTCCTGCATTTTCCAAAAACTGAAATATATGCGGATTAAACAGTCATATTGTTTCAGGTCATTGCCTAACAAGGAATTGAACTCATTGAATTAGTATAACAGCCATAAAGCTAGCATTTTCAGAATGAGAAATTAGTGGCCTACATATTCTCTCTGTACCAAATTCCTTCAAGGAGAACTAGTCAGGAATGAGCATTTGTAATGATCAGAATCTCTTCTGTTAAATTGCTATAATAGTGCAACCTCACTTCTTGGCAAAGGCTTCTGCTTTTATCCTGTTGTATGCTTTTCCCATCAGAAAATAAATGTCAATTCAGTGTCAGGCTATAAGACACACATAGAAGTTGACCTGTCTTCTGCTTGAGCTCCTAGCTAATAACTGATACACCCTCCAACTATCTCAAAAAGCCTAAAAATGATTAAATACAAAAATAAATATTGTTTGTTTATGAGCCCTGACAAAAAAAATATTTTGTAACATCTTGAGAATGTGTGTTATCAGCACTGTGGTCAGGCTGGAGAGAGGATACCTTTTTAGCCTGAAACTCATCCCAAAACTTCCACTCTGACAGGGAGTATGCAAGTATATAATAATCAAATAACAAACAACAACAAAGAGGTAAGTTTACGCTTTTATACTAATTCATATGTGGAAATTCAGTTTATTTCCGATGCCCATTGGTGAGTGGTTTTCTTTTAGAGTTAGATTATAAAGGGTTACTTTTCAAAATTAACAAGTAAATCAGCCAAAATATATTTAGCATGTTGATATCAATTACTTTATCACTAGTATTATTTTATATAGTAAATAGGCAGCTAAAGCAGTACTTAAAATTAAAAAACAAATTGCTAGCAGGTGTTTTTTGTTGGTGGAAGAGATTTTATGTGTCTCTTCTATCAGAAACCTCTGAACAATCCACTTGCTGTTCCACACTCAAAGTTTTCAACAGTTTATCACAGTTTTTTACACAGACTTGAGGGGCTGCTCATCCAAGGCTCTGGGGCTTCCACCACGAATATAGAAAACAAAAGGGAACAGAGCGCCACCTCCGTGTGTAAAATTGTTTATTACAATAAATAAAACAAGGGATAAAAGTACTCACAAACAAACGTTTTCATCAGGCTTTAACAACAAATGAGAGGCCACACTGTCTGTTAACCCAACATGGCATATCCCCGACCATGTAACACGGTAGTCTCCGGTCACATCACCGTCCACCGACCGCAGTCAGCCAATATTGACGCGTTTCAGTGGCAAGCCCCCTTCCTCTTTCTACAGGTCCCCTTCCCACCTCTCTTATGCAGCACTAAAGTGAGTTAGAAAGTGCCTCCACCTTTTCCAACTTGTGGATGTCTGGCAGATTTACCATCCTACTACTCGGGATTATTTTTTTTACTCCCATACTAATAATACCTACACATGTATTGACTTTTTCTTTGTCCTACACAGCTCCCTTGCTTCTGTCACAAGCTCTGATATAGGTAATATTTCTCTCTCTCTGATCATGCCCCCATTGGGTAACCCTGGACTTGGGTCAAACTACTTGGCATTGGCGTTTGAACGAATATCTCATCTCTGACCCGGCACTTGTCTCAGAAGTAACTCGGGACCTACGGTCTTATTTTGCCTTGAATTCTTCTTCGGACTGCTCCCCCTACATTGTATGGGGAGCTCACAAAGCCTGCTGCAGCCGTGTTCTTGGTACCATTTTAAACAGCAGATGATTTCTGTTTACATACAAGTGATCCAGTGCCTATACAGGTGCCGGATCGCTTGTACGCTGTGGCGCTGTGTCCCCCACCTCCGCCACCACTGGTGCCTCCGTCGGCTTCCCAGGCTCCGCTGTCCCCCGTGCGAGCCCGGAACTGGAATGGTGGGTCTCCCCTTACATATCGGAGGGAGATCAGCCGGTTTCCAGTGGCTGATCTCTCCTCCGATCACTGGACCTGGAAGTGATGTGCATTACATCATTTCTGGTGTCTCTGTGCACATTCTCGGGCACCTAAAGCCAGAAGAAGAAGTTGGTGAAGCAGATCTCTGCTTCATCAGCTTCTTTGGGGTCCCTAGGTGACATTAGCGGTCTAAAAGACCTCTGATGTCTCCATAAAGAGGACCTGTCACATTATATTTGCTATTGCGTAGGGGGCTTGTTAGCCCCCTATGTGATAGCAATAAAGTTGAGTGTAAAACAAATTGTAAAAATTAAAGCAACAGATAAAAAAATGAAAAATGCAAAAACAATTTAAGTCTCTCTCCCCTGGTTATTGTATTTTTTTGTGGTTTCACGGACGCACGCAATTTTAAGGCTTGACATGTTTGGTATCTATTTACCCAGCATGACCCCATATTGTATATTTTACCAAAAAAGTGTGTATTATATTCTGTTTCTGTGCACTAAATTTTATTTTAGTGTATTTCATCTTAAAAATACTTGTTTGATAAATATTTGCACAAATACCGTGCAGCATAAAAAACTGCAACTAGTATATTTTAATTCTACAGGGCCTCTGCTTTCAGAAAATATATGATTGTTTGTTTTTCTAGCCAAAAATTCAAATTTTATCGTGTGTGAATGTAAGAAATTGCTCCGGACAGCAAGTGGTTAATGCTCATTAAACCTCAATTTCCAGCTCCATTCAGTAGACGGGATATAAAATTCTTACCAGATGGTACTATGTCCCTTCTATGTTACATTGACTATATCCACAACGCCTGCCCTCCCCCCATTGAAAATGTGGCCAACAAGAAGGAACAATACTCCATATATGCTCCACAACTTTGTACCTTCTGGTATTTGGTTAGTTGTATCATATTCAAGCTCACAAATATAGCACTTGGGGTAATTCAGCTGTTCTACTTCTGCATCTGGCCCAACTCTCCAAAAAACATTTAAAACGTTCCTTTTGATACATCTAGTGAATACTGCCACAGCCTGTTCCCCTTTATACAGGAAATGACCATGGCCTCACCTTATACCATGGCTCAAAAAGGTCAACAAAATCAAGATGGAGGGCTTTGCATTACCACTTCTGCATCGAGAAGCTCAATTCAGGCAAATCTGGTTTACTGGATCAAGTTGATATTTACTTGTGTATGTCTGACTATTTTGTCTTGTATTTGTAATTGTTATTACCTTAATTTATTTTAAAAAGTAAATATGCCCTGTCTGATTCGTGGCCAGTGATAGCCACAAACATAGGCCGGGTCAATCCCCCCAAATTTTTCTGCAGTCTTCCCTTCTTTCTGCTATTATTGTCACCATGTCACCATATATCCATGGTGATTGCATGCATAACAGAAAGCCAGCCATGTGGAACGCTGACTAAATGGTATAAAACCAGTAGTGGTCACTGAATTACCTGAATTATGGATATCTTAAAAGCATTACTGTTTAATATTTGAATTTGAATACAGATAAAAACAGATCTTAAAAGTTATTAATTCAGCAGACGTGATTAATTCAGTTACACAGTTATGCACATTAAAAAATACCTTCTGTAGCTTCCTTTATATTTTTGACACAAACACCATGTAAAGATCCAATTGGGTCACAGTCACATGGGCGACAAGGTTTATGATGGTTCGGTAACAGCTGAAAAAATAAACAACGCATTATTGCTATATGTTTTGCATAACCCTTAAATAGCCTTCAGAAGCATAAATATTATATTTAGTATGCTAACCCCAATGAAGCTTTGTGCCTGCTTTGTAACATTAGCCTGCTGCTATACTACATTAGCCAAAACCAACTGTTTTAATAATTCTTCCAATCTCTGTCACTTCAGGTATCGACCCTTTAAATAGCAGCTTCTTGCTATAACTTGCCCTCATTCTCCACCATATATGATCTGGGGAATAGGTAGCAGGTACAATGCTCCCTGGTGGTGAGCAGTCTTGAGGTACTCCAGTAACTTTTCTTCAAATTGGGGGAAGCTTTATTGATGCTTTACACAAGCTCTATACAGTGCTGTACAGTGCTCAAATAAAACCAAAAACTTCAAAACAATAACCTAACTGTATCCCAGAACTAACTACACATAAACACAGCCCTAATTAGCAAACCTAGCGTTACCAACCTATAGCGCTAGCAGACTCAGACTGTCTACTCCCCTGGCTCCAGAGCACTGTCTGTTTACCTTACCCACACTAAACTGGTTTTACAGATGACATGTAAAACCCGGGGCTGAGTATAGGTCCTGGAACTTGTATGAAAGGAATCTGGTTGATGCATAAATCCCAGACAGGATTTCTCCTGGTTTGCTACACATTGCTACCATATACATTCATTGTAATTTTATGGGAATACAAGACCAGAGCATAATCCAATAAGCCTTTTTGATTTTGACTAAAATCTCCTTTCTGGACATAGAAACACTCTATTACTGGCATGAAATGAAATGCCTCAAAATAGACATGCTGGACATTTTGAAGACATATTATAATGTATGAATTACTAAAGTAAAACAATCAAAACTATTTTCTCTTTACTTCCTGTTCCAGAAATACAACAGGAAGTGTGGGGAAATCCTACATTTGACATTTGTCACCGGAACAAGTATCCCTATAAGACAATGTTCCCTCTACCAATGTTCTGATGAAAACCATTACATTCAGCATTTTCTCTCCCTTTCTGTCACTGTTCTATGGAGTCTCTTATTAATGACCCGGTGAATGGAGTAGAAATTAGTTTTGAGTTTCATGCTGTTGATATAAAATTATGTTGAATTATTAAATCAGCAAGACAGAGACACCTGACAGAGGAATCTCTCCTAAAGGGAAGGAAGATCAGTTAAATGGACAATTAAATGCAATGTTGTTATATTGTAAGGTTATGCACCAAGGCTGCAGTAAAAATACTGCCCACTATACATTGCATTGAAAGCAGTTACGTGAAAACAGATTTAGAAAAAGACTTGACAATACTGGCTGAGTAATAGTAATAGTACTGGCTGGCTGAGTAAGCTGAGTAATAGTACTCAATAGATGATGGCAGTGGAATGGATCACAAGGTATCCCATATAATAATTTGCATGGTACCTTGTCACACAAGCTAAACACTGACTCTGCTTGTAATATATTGTATTCCATCAGCTCTGACAAAATTGCTATTTCCAAAGTACCTGTGCCCTGGGCTTGCAGGTATCCAGTCCAAGGTGAACTGGAACCAAATAGTAACAAGGGTACAGGCACCACAAGCTATATAACAGCTATGTTAGTTTATCCTAGTTTTCTTTGTTAAAGGCCCTTTTGAGAATATAAACACAATTTCTGTTCAGTATTTATTAGAATGGTATTACAAAATATGATTTAAATACTTTACCCATTGAGGTCGATAGTAACCATTTATACAGGTCTCACAGTTATTCCCAGCTGTGTTTTCAGAGCAATTGACACAAACTCCACCTCCAATATATTCCCCACGAATATTCAGACTGAGCTTCTTGCTTGCTACAGTTTCATCATAATAGCATTCTGCAGTCTTCCCATGACAGTTGCAAGCTATTGAGAGTAAAGTAAATTGTGTCAGCAAACAACTCATAAATGCAGTTTAAAATACACAGGCCTATACAATAAAAATAGTGCAATTAATCCAAACAACAGTCAACAGTAGTGCAATGAATCCAATCAACTGTAATCTTTCATTTAGAGGCTCACGTGCAAATGATGAAAGTTGAAGAAATCATGGTTTGCACATGTCTATTATTGATAGCTAAATAAAAGCTTCATGGCAACCAGAAAAGCTCTTTCATGAATGATATTTGAAGCAAGCAATAGCATCTTTTTCAAGTCATGCTGTTGGCTCAAACCATCGCTCATGTAGGAGCCACTAAGTTTTTAATTATGTTTCAATTAAAGGGTTATTTTACTTTAACAGATCTGTGTGTAAATGACGATTTGATGAACTTTCTGAGATGACAAATGGATACTGCAAGCGATGGTGAATTTGGCACCAGGCAAAGCCCGTGTAAAGAAAGATGTGCGCTGCTTTTTGGTGAAAAACACAGTTTATGTACTTAAGTAAATGCATCACTGCCTGGAGATCAATGTGCTCTTTTCAAGACTCTCGGTTCTTAGGTAAACAGAAGAAAATGTTTTGAGATGAATATCAACACACCACCTTGCCTTAGTTTGCATGGTACCACAGACAAAACTGCACCATAGTGCAACTCTACCACCACTATGACTACTAAACACTTCTTTGTATTACAGCAAACAAAAAAACGACACAAGTATTTATAGTAAGAAAGTATAAGTATAGTTTTCGAGCTAAAGATGCATTTGGCAGGTAACTAGCCCCCAATTTTGTGAAGAAGGTAATGTTTCTGTGTTGCTGGACCATGTGGTCTGTGGCAGGATCCACATGACTACAGATGCAAGTTAAAATAGACAGACAGTAACACTGGGTGTTGCTAGCTGATGGCAGATAGCTTTCAGCAAATGCAGGGACTGGAAATGCCATTTCTTCTACAGAGTTGCTGGTGGTGTGGTTTGAATTATGTGACCTGAAAACTCCATGGCAGAGATACAGACTTAATCGGCACAGAGCCAGTGAGAACAGAAAAGGTAATGTCCACAGGCCAGATATTATGACACACAACATTAGTCACTTAACCAGGCAGGGCAATAGTTAGCCACAACTGGATAAAGTTAGGTGCAAAAAAGCAGGAAAACAAGCCAATTGGGAAGAAGAATATTAGGTTCAGACTTGAGGTCAGGAGAGGTAGCAGAAAATAGTAGTCATACAATGAGGCATAATCAGAGGAAACAGGATACAGGTCAGGCACATGAAAAAAGGGTTAGAAACTAAAGCCAAAGCAGGATACACAAGGACAAAAGGGCCTAGCCTTAATTCAGGAAAACCAGTCTGGGAGTTCGCATTGGCTGATGAAGACAAAGCTAATAGACAAATATGCGCTAAATTGCTAAATAGATGGGAAATGTTGACAGTTCATGAACACCCAATGGATGCCTGCCTTCATGTACCTAAAACAAACCTGTGACTTCGAAATCATGAAAAATATTTTTGACTATTGGCAGACAATCTGACCAATTCTGCACTGTAGTACTAACAATAGGCTGGGTTGGATATTTTTCAGCCGATTACCATTGCTTTTCCCAAGACAAGACCAGAATGGGGGTGGCTCTCAGCTATACTTGTGACAGGATAAGCTAAATGCAAGGTATGCTCACAGTTCTGTGAGTTTGTTGTGCAATTATTGAATTTTGTCAATGCTTTTGTATCCAGAATGGGCACACTTTCACCACTACATCCAGGAAAAAAAACACATTCTTGTAGACAACTGTGTTAGATGATTTTTAAACATACATTTACCTCTAAAATTGGGGAATATGGATTTCAGAAAGTGAAAAAGGTTTTGTTTGTTTTTGAAATAATACATCACTGTAGCATGGGGAAAATTGAAGATTTAAGTATACGCTTTCCTTGTAAAACATATCCCATCAAAATGCTAGGCATTTATTTCTCAAAGGTGTCATTATAGCATTGTATTACACCACCAAAAGTTTTATTTCAAGTTAAAAAGATATATATTTCCCCATGAAATTGGCAAACAATAGCACAAACAACCTTTACCTGCAGTCCACATTGTTTTTCTCTCGTTCCTTGCTTCCGATGGTAAAGGTTATCTATTATTGAGAACAGAATTGTAGGTTTTGCAAGTGCTGCTTTGTCTTGCCGTCAAGGAAACATTTCAGTGTCATTTATTGAATTGGTTGTATCCCCTAAAATATTTTATTTGCAGGGCTGAAGTATTTTTCTAATCTGTCACTAAGAAGGCCACTGAAATTAAAATACAATTTGCTTAATATTAAAGAGTTTTTATTAAAATTGATGCAAATATGTCTTGCTGCACTTCAAGATGTAGGTGGGTGCTAGTAGTGACCAAGGATGGCGCCGTGAGATACGTTACAAGTTTACAAAGGATGTCAACAGCACATCATATTATCTTGTGCAATTAGCAAAAGTCCATTTATTGACAGATATTGCCACTCAAGTGCAAGCGCTTTAGGGGCCACACATGGTCCCCTTCATCAGGCTCGGAATGATGTCACAAGATATTATGGTTAATTAACATTGAAACACATGAACCATTTGGAGATGATCAAAACTGAGTATATGTTATTCCCAACACCAGTCAAAACTTTTCATTTCCCTTTTGATAGTATGGGAAAGGGTTAGAGCTTCTGTTGGTTGCTGTCTGTGGCTCTGTTGTAGAGATTTTCCCTCACTTCCGTCAACTCAACATATAATAGCAAATCTCTCTAAACAGAGCAAAGATAACAAAACCCAATTTTAGGAAAATAGATAAGGGTTAAATCATCTGCCATTTTTTTGCTTACTACTTTCTTGTCACTTGATAAAGATGCACTTCCTGTGCCTAGGCACGCCTGTTTTGTGAGCCTCATAGCTGTATATCTGTAATCTGAGATCTTCTAAGGCACTGCTGCCTATTACTGTCTCAAGACAGTTAGAGTGAGATTTGGTAATGTTACTTCTGTTCTGCTTGTTGGATAGGAAGCTGTACCTGAGGAACTGCAGAACAAGAATCTCTCTGCTTTATTCATTGCATAGACATGTGCTTTCTGATCTCTCTTGCAGCTTTTTAAATATAACCCCACTGGCTATCAGATCACCAGTCATCGGACGGAAGGGGAGCATTGACATGATGAAGCAAAGCCTTCCCTTCTACCAGGATGGCCGCCTCCACACAGAGGCACAGTACAGAAAAGGGTAATCAGTAATGGGGAGCAGATCAGCTATAGTAAAACCCCAGGCAATACTCGTGACCAGTCCTTTGTTCACCTTGCCTTTTATATAAACAGCAAAGATGACAACTGCATTGTTGGTCACTGTATCTACAGTTCCCCCATAGCAAACCACAACATTTCCCATGGGTCATGAATACAGGTATAGGGAAATTAGGTGAGGTAATAATTATTATTCTAATTACTCATCATTCAATTTCATTTTCTGAACTTACATAAATTAAAAGACTGTTCTGGCACCTACAGCATTAGTCGCATATGTGAGGAGTTTCAGGTCCACGGGACAAATATCTACTTTTCATATCAGCCAACCCAACTACCATTGGGTTGCCATTAGGAACTGCGTCCCTCACCTATGTTTTCTTCACAAGATGGCCAAATTTGTTTTGCCCGTTCTCAAGGCCATTCACGGTCGGCGCACCACACTGGAAAAAAAGGCACGCAAGGCTTGGCAGGCGCCATGGAGACCTCTTAGCATGCCTCCCTGCCGGACTCCGTTGTCGACTCTGATTGGGATGATGAATCCTCTGGTAACACTACTAAGTTTTCAGCTGCGGTGGCAAATCTGTTAAAACCCACTGTTGAATGTGCTCTGCTTTGGGGGTGCCTTAAATTACTGATGAACAATGGAATCTTAAATAAGTGTTGGGTTTATTTACAAATAGGGATATACAAACATTCTAAATATATTTAAGGGAAATGGAGAGGGAGTTTGGAAGGGGTTAGTTGGGATAGGAATTGAGGTTAGGATCCCTAAGCTAGCATCATCATTCTCTCTCTCATTCACACGTGCCAGGGCCTTTTCTCTGTGCTTAGAACACTCCTCTCAAGCTGGTCTCAGCGAATCACATTCTTGATTGTAGAGTCCAGAAAGTCTTTGTCTTGTGCCAAAGGTCACCAAGGTTACCATTGTTCCTGCTGGTGAGCTAGGTTTGTGCAGATATGTCCCTGCCCCCATCCCAGCATGTATGCTGCATTGCTGACACAGGTGTGGGCAGTAAATACCAGCAGGAGGTCTGGCTCGTCCCAGGAGACAATGACCCACAGGCAGATCTTCATCCCTTAGTGTCACTTCTCCAAGAGCCCTTTGATGATTCTCATTTGCGTATCACTAAGCCACATGCTGATTCAGTTCAGGATATCAAGGAACAACTTTATATCAAAGCTTTTACATAGATATTAATTTTAGCGGCTCCAACACCCACCATCCAGGCTGTGGTTGACTCTGCAGTCTTTAAGGGTATACAATTCCTGCACCATGATCTTTTGGCCCAAATGCAATGCCTTACTAAGGTGGAAAGCAGGGTGTCTCTCTTTGAAGATGAGCTAGAGGAAGCTCATACCTGCATTAGGGAATTAACCAAACAACATCATTCTATATCTACAAAACTGGACAATTTAAAGAACTGGTCCAGGAGAAACAACCAGCATATAGTGGTCCTACCTGAATCCTATAAATCTGTGGGCTTGCCTGTACTCTGCTCCCAACTTCTACTGGAAGCCTTGGGCTTTGCTCCAGCCTGCAAAGTTAAATGGGCACATCGCCTGGGCCCGCCAAAGTAAGATTCTCACCCCCCTTTGCACGATGATCATGAAATATTTGTCATATGTAGGCAAGACAGATATCCTAAGAGCACATCGCAATCTCCTGCATATTCATCTGGAAGGTCATGCTGTCCTGCTCTTCACTGACTATTCAGTGGGGGTGAGCC